CCATTTGTGGATTTCTTGTTTGTTGATGTTGCACTTCCGAATTTTGTCATGATGATGGTGGTACTGTTTACCCCTTTAGGATGCTGTTGGATTTTCGGATCTTTCATTGACGGGAATATTGTTGTCCATTTCCGAATTTTTGTGGGCTTTCGAATTTTTTGGTGAATCTGATAAAGTCCAATCCGTTATTCCTTAGGGGTTGTTTGGACCGAAAATCACTTTTTTTCAAAAAAATCTCTTATTCTCTCTCTCGAACAGAACAAGATACTGTTGGATTTTGGCTGAGGCTGTCGGAAATAAACGGGGGGTTTGGTAGCATTCAATTGTTGCCCCTCCCGGACCCGATGATGAAAATGCTCTGAGGGTCCGAAAATCAAATTAAAAAATCGTTTTTGATTAAAACTAACTTCGGACCAATTTCCAACACTTTTGCAGGTTCTGGAAGTTCGGGAGATGACGAAGAGTCGGAAGCTGAAGAATGGATTTAGAGCTTAGAACTCTTAGGATTAGTATTTGACCTTGTAATCTATAATTCCTTAAAAATGTAACTTTGGATTTTTGTAATGAAATGCATACTTGAACAATGTATTCTGATTAGAACCTTAATAAAATACGAACTTGATTATGAAATTAATTCCGAGCCATATCTCAATACGAATGAACGTTGAATTTTGTAATTTGAATTTCGAAATCAATTGAGACCTGCGACTATCCAACACTAACTGATATCCACCATAATTTCGATGCAAACTGTAAGTCTCACGATGCCTCTAAAATTTAACTCGTAACCAGTATAGAAAGAAAAATGAGTGTGCGCTTGAACTTGTTTAAATAACTTCCTTGAAACAATTCTCACACCGATTCAAATTCCAATCCGCTCACATTTTGACGATCTCACCTCAAAAATGGTTCATAATTCGATTAAAATTCCAGTCTTTCCAACACACCTGCAAAACGAAACAAACTGGGCAAACCGGTTAGCGGTTAGTTAAAACAAAATACGAAATAAAATGAAATGCAAAAGATCACTGCATCTAAAGGTAAAAATTGTAGTATGACACATGGACCAAAATCCATACGAAGGGGAGGAGAGAGTTGAAAGCAAAGAAATGTGTGGCTAAAGAGCTGTATAGCCGATGGTTGCAAGCTAGAGTAACTGAAAAGTTGCTACCATTTCCTCCAGAACCCTCCATGCAAGAAAAACATCCTACTCTCACTCACGTGTCTATGGAAGAGTATGAGAAGCTAAAGCTAGTGGTAGAAAGGTTGACCAAAGAGAATCAAGACCTTCAGGCTGAAGTTCACCAAGAAGGTGTAGAGAATGACCAATACAAGAGGAAGATAGAGGTTAAACAGGACCAAGTGGCTGAAAGCAGCAAAAAGTTGAAGCTAGATATGGATCTGAGGGTCGTGTATCAAAATGATTTTGAAGGGGCCGATGCGTCAGTGAAAACTCTCCAACAACGCCTAAAGGAAACTAAGGACTCCCTATGATAGAGCGTGGAATTTCTTTGAACTAGCTTCTGCTGAAAAGAAGAAGATAATGGAGAAACTCGAGGATGACATTGAGGATCTCGAAGAGCAGTTGAGAAGTGCTTTAACCCTAGCTGAAGATGAACAACGATTCAAGGAAGAAGCGTTAAAAACTTTGTATGTCACTCCTGGCATGTGGAACAACAAATGTTTAGAGTTGGAGAATGCTCAGGAAACAGCCACTTTGTGGAAGAATTGTTTCGAGGCCCTAAAAAGGGATAGTTCACAATGGCTCAAGAAGGAGGCTCAGCTCAATGAACTGTTGGATACACATGTGGATTCTCTCGGTTATTATCAGCCGACTCTAGACATGTGTCGTACTAAGTACAATGATCTAGTGGAACATTGTAACCTCATGATTCGTGATATTCCATGGGGGTTGGAAAGTGCGATTCAAGATTTGGAAGGGAACGACGTTCCTCCTTCAGTCCATCACTTCATCCAGCTTTGCGGTCAGATGGTTAACAGATTCATGTTTAAGTCGAAGAAGCTTGAAGAGCGTCTCCGAAAGAAGGCTTTTTAGTTATTCAGCTCTTTCTCTTGTTACATGAACTATTGTATTCAACCTATTGAACAATCATGTGTATTGGATCTTCTCTCAAAATTAATGAAAGTTGCTTTTTGGTCTCAATTGTGCATGCTTTACTATTCATTCGCAGTTCTATAATATCGTTGATAATCATAAGTCTTGAAAGTCTCTTGAACATCATTCAAGCATTGCATATACCTGCGCATCATTTTCACATTCCCTAAAACCCGACCTTACACGCCGCTTGCCCTTTCAGAACTAGAGCAAGCTGAATTCCCTAAAACAATGAATTACATATTTAGCGAATACTTGAACTAATAAATCTGGTGCCCTCTCTCTCTCTCTCTCTCTCTCTCTCTCTCTCTCTCTCTATATATATATATATATATATATATATATATATATATATATATATATATATATATATATATATATATATATATATATATATATATATATATATATATATATATATATATATATATATATATATATATATATATATATATATATATATATATATATATCGTAGAATTGCATGTTTAGGTTACTTTTACCGCATTCTTAGAATCATATGTTGTTAAGTTATTGCCTTGATAGCGATTTGTCAATTAAGCGGAAGTTTTTTCAGATTAACACTACAAAATATCTTGTTGTTAAGGCTGAAAACTATGATCCTAGAATTCTCAATTGTATTTGTGAGATGTTGGATCGAACTCTAATATGGTCGAAGTCTGTTCGCGAGTAATGCGTGTTGTAGTCGAAGTTTGTTCTAACATGCATTAGTCAATATTGCTAAGGTTGTTAGCATGTTGAATTGGACCTTGCTTGTAAGCTCAAATTGTTTAAGTTAGCTTGTACCCTAAGTTAGCTTGTAATGAGTAATTGTTAAAAAACCCATTAGGTTAGTGTGCTATTTTATTATAAATAGGATGTTAGTTTCTCAATCTTGGCATAAGGAAAAATAGGAAGATAAAATCCTAATTTCAAGGGAGAGAGGTTATTTTGTTATTCTTGTATACTTGTAATCTTGTTCTAAGAGAAAGGAAAGAATAACAGTTTAATAACCAATCCTTGTTGTTCCTTGTTGTTTTACCTTGTTTTCTTTATTAACCCTAACCCTAGTGTGTTTCTTGCTAAGAAACCGTTTATACTTTGTTTAAAGGTATCCGATTCACAACAAATTGGTGCGGTGAGCGTGGAAAAGATGCCTTCAACAAAGTATGAGATTGAAAAGTTCACTGCAGTGAACGACTTCGGTCTGTGGCGCTTGAAGATGAAAGCTCTGTTGGTTCAGCAGGGTTGTTTGGAAGCGTTGAAGGGTGATGCAGCCATGGACGCTGCGTTAACGGAAAAAGAAAAGACTTTGCTCAGTTGGAAGTTTTTCCACTGTATGCAGTTAATAAAGCTGCATGAAGAAAGCTAGTTTCTTGATGTTTTAGAGTTAGATCCAAGGTGGAGATTTGTGAGATGTTGGATCGAACTCTAATATGGTCGAAGTCTGTTCGCGAGTAATGCGTGTTGTAGTTGAAGTTTGTTCTAACATGCATTAGTCAATATTGCTAAGGTTGTTAGCATGTTGAATTGGGCCGTGCTTGTAAGCTCAAATTGTTTAAGTTAGTTTGTACCCTAAGTTAGCTTGTAATGGGTAATTGTTAAAAAAACCATTAGGTTAGTGTGCTATTTTATTATAAATAGGATGTTAGTTTCTCAATCTTGGCATAAGGAAAAATAGGAAGATAAAATCCTAATTTCAAGGGAGAGAGGTTATTTTGTTATTCTTGTATACTTGTAATCTTGTTCTAAGAGAAAGGAAAGAATAGCAGTTTAATAACCAATCTTTGTTGTTCCTTGTTGTTTTACCTTGTTTTCTTTATTAACCCTAACCCTTGTGAGTTTCTTGATCATTAAAAAACCGTTTATACTTTGTTTAACGGTATCCTATTCACAACAGTATTGACTTTGTATATTTACACGTCTTGTGTAAAATGATATTAATTCAATGCACTGATTGATTTTTTTGGCTAGATATTTGCACCAATCTATTATTATATTGTGTACCAGTTAAAGTGTTTTTGTGTATATATTGTCTGATAAGTATAATCTATCTTTTACGTATTTTGTTTCCGCTATGTTTATCGTTTTTAAACTCAAATAAGTGTTTCAAACAAAACTAATTTCAAATTGATCAAATTTTATTTGAGAGGTTTATTCACCCCACTAGACAATTGCATTTTCGTATTCTTGCCCAAAATAATAGCCTGAGATTTGTCTCTTCTTCTATAATAGTAAATCCATTTACAATTATTTAAAATAATCAAACCTCTTTTTTTCACAAAACACTCATTGAAAAAGAGGAGAAGTAATGAATAAGAAACTATAATTTAAACTTAAAATGTATTATCATTTCCGCAAAGACTCCTTGAAAAATGAAATTCTATATAAAAAAATCAATAAAGTTATAAAAGGATACTCTTAAAGAACTTCTTTTTTTTTTTTGTTAAAAACACTCATTGGAAAAGAGAAGAAATGATGAATAAACTTTCATTTTAACTTAAAATGTATCATTTCCAAAAAGAAAAAAAGACTCCTTGAAAAATGAAAATCTATATTAAAAAGTCAATATAACTTTATCATAGGATACCCTTAAAATCAATATTCATAGTATCATGTGGGGTCGAAAACCACTGTAGTTGCATGTTTTTTCAAATAAGAACACAGCCAAAATTGAAAACCTATTGTTGTTTTTTCTTCTAAATTTTGGTTTTATATTTGTCTGTTTCTTCATTAACAATTATAGCAATAATTCAAAGCTAGTCTCATCTGTAGGTTCTATATATTTTTCTTCTCTTTCTTGTCATTATTATAAAAAGAACCACATTTTCATATAAATCTTATGCATCAAGCATAATAGTGAATTAGTCTTTCTTCACATGCTATGGCATTATTCACATCTTTTTTACTTCTTTCTCTCTTCAATCTCTTCACTACATTGTCATCTTCAGAGTCCGTCTCACCAATTCTTGATGTTTCTTCTCTCAATCGAACCAGTTTTCCTAAAGGCTTCCTTTTTGGAACAGCTTCCTCATCGTACCAGGTAAATGTTTTATCCTAGTTTTGTTGATAATTATTAGTTAAAAATTTTCATAAAATATTAAAAAATATATAAAGTTTATGTTAATGAAGAATTTAGTTGAATCTATGGTATGCATGCAGTATGAAGGTGGTGCCAAAGAAGGTGGGAGAGGACCAAGTATATGGGACACCTTCACTCATAAATTTCCAGGTATCTATTTTCTGTTTTTTAATATAGAAAGATTTATTTATTTTGCACAATGATAGGTTATGAGTTTGTCTCTATGTGAGAGAGCATTTTTATTTGAAGATGCTGCAAAAAGTTGTCTATCAATTTATTATAATTATGTTTTGATCCTTTTTTTTTACTTTTTTTAAATATAAAATTACCATGTAAGTTTTTTACTAGTACCTGTTTATCTACTATTTATTTTCTTGTTACAAATATAATAATTTAATATAACAAATGTGCAACATGCAGATAAGATACAAGATAAGAGCAACGGAGATGTTGCAGTTGACCAATATCACCACTACAAGGTAATATATATATATATATATATATATATATATATATATATATATATATATATATATATATATATATATATATATATATATATATATATATATATATATATATATATATATATATACTTCTCAGTTTTCCTATAATTTTAAAATTGTTACAATAAATTATAATATGGTTATAAAGAAATAGTCTTGGATGCTTTATTGTTGGTGTTTCTCGATCTTTCGGAGTCTCAATATCAAAATTTCAAATTTAAAGTATTTAAAAAGTGTTTCATTTTTTTTTATAAATCTAAAGTGTCAGCCGTCTAATTGCTATCGTCACATTGGGATATCTATGTCGTTATCGCCTTATCGTTAGCTCTACTGTGTCGCATTCCTTTTCATTGAAAAATTGGTAATGGTGGAATATGTGTTCATTTTTTCTCTTTTCTCACTTAAGATTTTAAGGTATAATATAATAATTATCTATATTAACTTTAAATTAATAATGATGTCAATTTAACTATCGACTATATTCTTCAAAACTTGAATTACTCTTTAACAAATTTGATAATGTTGAAAATAAGACCTTTTATATTTAGGAAAAGTGTGTGGAAATATTAAAGGTTTAAAGAGAAATTTGATAGGTAGGAGAATTATTTATGGAAGAGAGAACTTTGTATTTTGTTTGATACGAAAGTGTAGAATTACATCTCTATTTATAGTACTCTAAGGAGAACTCTAGACATACTAATTCTAGAGAGTTCTCAACTCTAAGAATTCCAAGAGCATTCTAGAGAATATTACAACCCTAAGAAATATCTAGACACTCCAAACATTACAAGAGTTTTCTAGAAACATTAATTAAAATTACCTAAGTCCAAAATAACTAAGCCCAAAAATCCAAATAATATGTTTAGGCCCAAATCAAGTTTAATCTTTCAACATCCCCCTTAAACTTGATTTGTGACTCCAAGCATGCTCCTTAACTTTATGAAAGTTTCTAACTTGAGTGGCTTGGTGAAAATGTCGGCAGCTTGATCTCGAGACATCACATACTTCAACTTCACATCCTTATTCTCGATGCATTCTCTTATAAAGTGGTAATGGGTGTCGATGTGTTGATGTGTTTACTTCTTTGATGAAATACAGGATTCTTTGCCAAAGCAAGTGCTGATTTATTATCAACACATATTTCCATAGGATCTTCTTGTGGCATTTTTAACTCTTTTAACAAGTTCCTTAGCCAAATTGCATGGCAAACGTATGATGTAGCGGCAACATATTCGGCTTCACAAGTTGACAGTGTGACGATAGGTTGCTTCTTTGACATCCAAGTGAAAGCAGTATCTCTCATAAAGAACACAAAACCAGTAGTGCTCTTTCTATCGTCCAAGTCTCCACTCCAATCGCTATCACTATAGCCAACAATTTCATAATTGTTCGAAGAGTAATAGTGTAAGCCAAAGTTTGTTGTACCTTTGATATATCGAAGGATTCTCTTTGCCGCCTTAAAGTGAGTTGTTGTTGGAGCTTCCATGTAACGACTTACGACTCCTACAACATAGAGAATATTTGGCCTTGTACTTGTCAAGTAACGTAGACGTCCAACCAAACTTTTGTAAAGAGTTGGATCCACAATCTCTCCATTTTCATGCTTACTCAACTTGCTGCCACATTCCATCAGGGTGCTAACCGGATTAGCATCATCCATCTTGAACTTCTTAAGGACTTCTTTTGCATAGCCTTCTTGGGTGATAAAAATTCTTTTGTCTTCTTGCTTTACTTTAATGCCAAGATAATATGCCATGAGCCCCATATCTGTCATCTCAAATTCATTTGACATGTCTTTCTTGAACTCTTCGAACATGCTTAGGTTGTTCTCAGTGAAGATCAAGTCATCAACATATAAGCACACGATCAAAATATCTCCACTTTGCGCTTTAATATAGAGTGCATGCTCATATGGACACTTGATGAAGTTCTTGTCTTGAAAGTACTTGTCGATTCGAACATTCCAAGCTCTCGGTGCTTGCTTGAGTCCGTACAACGCCTTTTTCAACTTGAGGACTTTTTCTTCTTGCCCTTTTACTTCATATCCTTGTTGTTGCTCGATATAAACTTCTTCTTCGAGAAAACCATTCAAGAGGGCCGACTTCACATCCATTTGATAGATCTTACATTCATTCCGGGCTGCCAAAGAAATGATTAGTCTAATAGTTTCAAGACGAGCAACGGGGGAAAATACCTCATCATAGTCAATTCCTTGTCTTTGACTATAGCCTTTTGCCACCAGTCTTGCTTTGTATCTCTCCATGTCTCCTTTTGCATTCTTCTTCGCCTTGTACACCCATCTTACTCCGATTGCTTTGTGTCCTCGTGGAAGTGTAGTAAGTTCCCACGTATCATTCTTCGTGATTGCCTTTATTTCTTCATCCATGGCGTCTCTCCACTTTACATTTTCAACAGCTTCTTGATAGCTTAGAGGCTCACAATCACCAAAAAGACAAAAGATGTTAATGTCATTTTGGTTTTCGGTTACCTCATAAAGCTCTCCAATGCTCCTTAATCGTGGTGTCCTCTCACTTGAGCTTGTTTCATCCAACCTTGGTGTCAGTGAGGCAGGTGGTGTAATATGTTCATTTATCATTGGTTATTCCATTTCATCTTCTTCTTCTTCAAAATAAGGAAGAAAATCATACCTGTCTTCTTGAACACTCCAACCCCAACAATCTTCTTAATCGAACTCCACGTCACGACTTATGAAATCTTTCCACTATTTGGATTATAGAGCTTGTACCCTTTGGGGCTTGAGTCGTAACCCACGAATACATACTTCTCACTTTTATCATCGAGCTTTGTTCTCCTTTCATCTGGAACGTGGATATATGCAATGCTTCCAAACACCTTGAGGTGAGAGATCCCTGGCTTCCTTCCACTCCATGCTTCTTGTGGTGTCTTTTCATGCACACTTCTTGTTGGAGAACGGTTTGTCAAGTAAACCGCACATGCCACTACTTCGCCCCAAAACTCTTTCGGCATCTTCTTACTCTTAAGCATGCTTCACACCATATTAAGTATGGTCCGGTTCTTTCTCTCCACTACTCCATTTTGTTGTGGAGATCTTGGCACTGTTAGTGAGCGGTGGATTCCATGGTCTTCACAATATTTGTTGAACTCATTTGAAGTAAACTCTCCTCCTCGGTCAGATCTCATGGCCTTAATAGAAAGACCACTTTCTTTCTCCACAAGAGCTTTGAACTTCTTAAAATTTTCAAACACTTCTGACTTCTCCTTCAAGAAATAAACCCACGTTTTTCTAGAATAATCATCAATAAATAGGAGAAAGTATTTATTCTTACCAAAAGAGTTTGGATTGATTGGTCCACAGACATCAGTGTGTATGAGCTCTAGTGGTTTTGTCGCTCTTGATGTTGATTCCTTTGGAAAGCTTTTTCGGAATTGCTTCCCAATTAGACATCTTTCACATAGTTGGTCTGGGTGGTTTATACTAGGCAAGCCTCTCACCATCTCCTTCTTTAACAAACATTCTAGACTACCGAAGTTGAGGTGTCCAAATCGTAGATGTCATAGCCACGAAGAGTCGGTATAGCATGCCTTGAGACACTTTGCCACATCATTTTGAATGTTCAAGAGGAACATTCTATTCTTTAACATAGGCACCTTAGCGATCAAGTTATGCCCACAATCTCTTAAGAAAAGACTATGTTCTTTCAAGTGGATGTCATATCCTTTCTCCAATAATTGTCCCAAGCTCAAAATATTATTTTTCATGTTAGGAACATAGTAGACACTGGATATGAATTGATGACTCCCATTCTTCAAGCGTATGAGAATTTTACCTTTGCCTTTGACCAGTATCTTTGAGTCATCTCCAAATGAGACATTTCTAGTTGTCGCTTCATTGATCTCTATGAACATGCTTCGATCGCCGCACATGTGGTTGCTTGCGCCAGTGTCGAGGTACCACTTGTTTCTTTTCTCTTCAAATTGGTTTTGGCACGCAAGCAGCAACGTTTCTTCTTCTCCACCTTTTCTTCTACAAAGTTAGCTTTCTCCACAACCTTCTTTGAGAATCTACACTCAGATGCATAGTGACCGATTTTGTTGCAATTGAAGCACTTGATTTGTAACTTGTTGCACCTTGACCATGAATTTCCATTTCCACGACCTCTTGTTGCTTGTGGATTCCAACTTCTTTCTCCATTGTTGGAGTTGTTGGAGTAGTTGTTGTAACTGCCTCTTCTTTCTCCTTCACGTCCTCGTCCACGTCCACGTCCACGGTCTTGGCCACGACCTCGTCCTCTTTGACTCTTGTAATTCTCATAGTTTGCTTCCTTTGCATTGAGTTGTAGTAGTTGCTCCATAGTCTCCTTTTGTTTAATTTTTCTCTTTTGTTTTTCTTCGTATGCTTGTAAGGAACCCTAAGTTGCTCAATAGTCATGGTGTTTAAATCCTTGTTTTCTTCAATATTGGTAACAATGAAGTCAAAACTTGGATTTAAAGTGCGAAGTATTTTTTCCATGACTTTCACCTCATCAACATCTTCACCATTTCTTTTAAGTTGATTAACTACGGACAATACTCGAGAAAAATAATCAAAAATTGACTCAGACTCTTCCATAAATAAACGTTCAAACTCGCCTCTAAGAGTTTGAAGACGAATCTTTTTCACCTGCTCCACTCCTTTGTTGCAAGTTTGAAGCTTATCCCATGCTTCTTTGGTCGTCGTTGCATTGGAGATCTTCTCAAATGTATCTTCGTCCACCGATTGGTAAATGAGGAAGAGAGCTTTCTTGTCTCTCTTTCTTGACTCCTTTAATGTCTCCTTTACACATTGGCTTAAGGAGGCTTCACTTACTCCTTGAAGCATTTCTTAACGATATCCCACACATCTTGAGGTCCTAGTAGAGCCTTCATCTTGATACTCCAATTATCATAGTTGTTCTATGTGAGCATCGGCATTTGAAAAGGGAAACCTCCATTCGCCATTTGTTGAGGACCTT